GACAGACCTGATGCATAATCTGGGGGTCCTCCTGGACTCACAACTCCTGTTCGAAGACCAGGTGGCAGTCGTGGCTAGGAGGGCCTTTGCGCAACTTCGTGTTGTGCGGCAGTTATGCCCCTTCCTCGATCAGGAGGCCCTCCCCATGGTCTTTCACGCCCTGGTCACCTCCTGGTTGGATTACTGTAATGTGCTCTACATGGGGCTACCCTTGAAGAGTATCCGGAAGCTACAGCTGGTGCGGAATGCAGCGGTGCGGACAGTTCTGAATGCCCCTAGGAGGGCACATATAACACTGCTGTTACACGAGCTGCATTGGTTGCCAGTTTGCTTTCGGGCCCAATTCAAGGTTTTGGTCATCACCTTTAAAGCCCTTCATGGCACAGGACCAGGTTACTTGAGGAGCCGTCTCACCCTGTTATTTCAGCCCGCCCCACTTGGTCTGGGAGAAGGGGCATGCGGCAGACCTCACCAGTCAAGGAATTTTGACTGGTGGTATCTAGGCAGAGGGCCTTTTCTGCTGTGGCCCCCGCCCTATGGAACAATCTGCCTCCCAAGGTGCGGTGGTATCTAGGCAGAGGGCCTTTTCGGCGGTGGCCCCGGCCCTATGGAACAATCTGCCTCCCAAGGTGCGGTGGTATCTAGGCAGAGGGCCTTTTCGGCGGTGGCCCCGGCCCTATGGAACAATCTGCCTCCCAAGGTGCGGTGGTATCTAGGCAGAGGGCCTTTTCGGCGGTGGCCCCGGCCCTATGGAACAATCTGCCTCCCAAGGTGCGGTGTGCCCCCACTCTCATGGCCTTTAGAAAGGTGTGAAATCCTGGCTATGCCAGAAGCCCTGGGGACCGGATGGGGGCTCGCATCAATGGAAGTGGCTTGTGGGGTAATTAATTTTACTCCCCCCCATTATCTTGAATGTCTTTAGTATTTATGTATTGTATTTGTTTTACAGTGGATTTTAATAGATTGAGTATTTAATTATTTATGGGTATTTAAATTGTTTATAGGCTTTTGATTTTTAATTGTGAGCCACCCAGAGTCACCAATTGGGGGAGATGGGCGGCATACAAACTTAATAATAAATAAATAAAATAAAATAAAATAAAATAAAATAAAATAAACCCAGAACTGCAATAAAGACTATTGTGGCTCATTGTGATAACAGAGGTGTTTCCAGGACCCTCTACTGGCCTGTAAAAGAGCTTATAGTGAGCCACTTGGCCATGTTTTTGGCCATCCCTGTAAGGATGATGGAGAGAGAAGATCCAAATGCATGCCCTACTGGCAAACAGTAACTTTATTTGAAGCTAGGCAGGCCTTGAAATATTTACTGGGAATCCCATGTAAATTTTCTTCATGGGAAAAGCAGCTAGAAAGGTTGGTACCCAAGTTGATGCCTCCCTCCCGAAACTGAAAAGAGCTGTAATTCCCTCAGTCCAGCTAAAAGAAAGGCTTAACCATTCTCTTCCCTAAGAAAGCATGAGAATGCCATAGCTGGGACTGTTTTGTTTTGTTTTGCTATTTTTAAGAAAAGGGTGTGTTGGCTCTTTTCTCATTTCCTCTCCTGTCATGCTTTTAGTTACAGGGGTAGGCTAGGAGGATCAGATGGACATAGTTTGGAGGAGGGCTCAAGAGTCACAGGCCATGTGCACCACTTCTAGTCTTCTTGGATTTCCTATGGTGACACAAGGAAAGCATTTCAAGCCATGCTACATTCCTTACCGTGTCTGGAACAGCCTCACTAGAACTTGCTGCAAGAGATGGTTGGACACTGATATCAGTTGCCTCCCAGATTACTGAACCCAGCAGAGCACAGCATGGACAGATGGGGGTCCTGATGCAGTCAGGATCGGGCCTCCTTTATGGGTAGCACCACAGCAATATGCCACGGGAACTGTTTTTCTCACCTTGGAAACCAAGTTTGGAAATTGTGGATTTGATATTACCATGGGGAGGTCAATACATCCAGCCCTGGGGTTAGTGAACAGGAAGGACAAATATAACAGAGGCTGACTTGTCTTATTATTAAATAATAATAAATGTCTGAAGAGTCCTAAGAGCTTTTATATATTTCATTTTAATATTTGTATATTTTTATCTTGATATTTTAATTACCTTTGAATCTGTTAGAAAAAAGGTAGCATGTCAGTATAAAAGTTAAAAGCAGCAGAGATACGATGACTACTTACTTTCTTTCTCACTTGGTTTTTCTGAGATGGTGTCACAATACATAAACCCTCACCAATTTACAGCAGCAGCAGCAGCCTACAGTGATAATGTGGACCTTTCCATTGACAAGTTTCCCCTTTGTGATGACAGTGCAGGAAATGATGAATCCTTGTACTCTAAGATTTCATTCCTCCCAAGGTACAGCAAAGGAAATTCAACTGTCTTTGCAAAGGGAAGGTATACATACAATCTGGATGTGTTCAAAAAGAGGAGAAAGCATGGACTAAATATTATGTCATATTGGTATACAGTAATAGGCACTGTGGAAGGCATGAATTTAATCCTGTTTAATACAGGGTTTTCAAACAGCCCATCTCTGAGAGATGAACATCCCGGCCAAGCTTGCATCCATCCAATAAAGACAGCTAACCCTGTCTTAAAGCAGGCTACTCCATGGTTGAATATCTTTACTCTTAGGAAATTCTAATAATTAGATTATTTTGGCTTCCTTGAAAATTTCTAGATTGGCTTAGTATATTGTGCAATTGTAATTTATGTAATAAACCATGCTTAAGAAAACTATTATTTAACACTGCCACAGTTGGCAACAGGATATTGTTCTTTCTTTCCTATTTAATGGAAAAGTAGTGAACTTTATATAGAATCTTTTTATTATTATTATTATTATTTTAGGAACTCAAGACACTTTTCCATAGATTCTTCACCAAGTTTCAAAATGTGGTGTGGCCGGTCCATTGGAAACAAGAGGAAAACAAATGGGGAATGTAACAATTTTTTCTGACTCTTTTTTGTTTTCTTTCTGCCTTTCCTCTCAGGTGTGACTACGGTAGAGTCATATTGTTTCAAAAAACTGCTTAGCACACAGAATCGATAATTAATGTGTGTGCAATGAATGGAACAACTTATCCATTCATAAGCAACCACACTGTAACTAACCACTCATTGTATGAAAATACATGTGGTTGAGCCCTAATGCCTTCCGAAAATCAGCAAAGGAAGTAGATATCATTAACTTTCCTTTCTTCATCATTTCTCTTTCAGAGAACCATCCTTCTTCATTTCAAAATAGTTTTGGATCTCTATTTTATTCATTTGCATATAACATAAGTTACTATTTCAGCATGACTCTGTATTATAGAACTGTATCTGAATAGCAACCACGGCTCCCTCTCCCTACTCCATGGCCTGTGACTAGAATAAGTGGGGGCTATTTGACAATATTTTCAATATTCTGAAGACATGCAGCCTCAAGGAATCATGGGAGCAGAAACACAATGTATGTGGATCATGGGAGGGTGGGTTATGATGATGCAAAAGAAGCTATATCCCTGATGTAATCAGCATGAGCAATCTCATTATCAAAATCAGACTTGCTGATTGGGAATTCTGGGAGCTATAGTCCCAACATATCTGGAGAATGCAAAATCATGGAAATTTGACCTAAATATTCCCTTGATGTTTTTTGCTGGGACTAGAGAGTCTATTTGACTAGAGAGAGAAGATCTTTGTCTTTTCTTACTTGCACAGTCTATGGGGAAAATTTACCATTCATTATCCATGGTTGTAGAGACTATAGCTATGTTCTAGCTATTGCTTTGTCTCCTATCTTTGTAAATTACTACAGTACAAATCTCAGAAACGGGAAAAAAAATGTTGAAAAGAAATCCTGAATAGCATCTTCTTTGTGCTCCTTCTACCATAAAGGAATTTTTGTTGATTTTGATGGAAAATGCATTGACCACATACCTGATTTGGCCACATCCAAATTGATACATTCACTAAGCAGGTTTTGTTTAAGGAATTTGGAAACTCCATGCAAAAGCAGTTTTGGAGTCCAACCCCACCCTGCAGTACACAGAGCCCTAGATTAACACTGCTGATGGATTCTTGCAAAATGGCATACCTACAAAACCTGAAAAAAATGAATTGAGAAAAAACAGATACAAAATCTAAATATTTACTTTTATTTTTTAATCAAATTATTCCTTAGTGAGAAACAGCTTTTATTTTATTTTTAAAATATTTTCCTAGTTTACCATCCCCTACACTTCTACAAAACTACTGTAGTAATTGCCTCAATTTCAGCCAAAGAAAACAAAATGAAAACAAAACACAACCCTTCACAAGAGTCCTTGTCCTTCTAGAAGTAATATCTTAGTCTTCATTTATTCTTACCCTGTTTGGTATCCTTTAGCCAGTTAACTGTCCATGAGATGACCGGTCAAAAGTTTTTTTTTAAGTCCAAATATATGAAGTCAACTGGATCACCTCTATCTACTATTCTGATCCTCCTTCTCCAGTCACATCAGGCAGCAGATGGGAGGGGGGAAACATCTGTACTGGGCTTGTTAGAAGCATGCATTCACACCCCCACACCCCCCGTGTAGCAACTCTGAGCTCCGATTTTTTAAAATGCACACATATAGTCATGTATTCAGAGGTCAGAAAGGGAAACACATTCCACTGAAAATATTTCAGATCAACTACTGCTTTACAGAGTCAGAAGCATTTGTGAATAGGCTTATCCAATCTAGGCATAAAGATACCATTAGACTGTAATCCTAGATTGGATAAGCCTATTCACAAATGCGTCTGATCCTTTAAAGTAGTAACTGATCTGAAATATTTTCAATTGTGGTCCCAATACATGAAATCCACCCTCCCTCCTCCACCATTTACTGTTTGCTTGATCCTTTTTGGAAAAAAATGAATATAAAATAAGTGTGGGGAACAGAGTGAGAATACATTGTAAAACCCACCTGATACTGTGTGCAGGAATATATTCAGCCACATCATTGTTCAGTGGCACTAGATCAGGGCTGCACATTTTTTATCAGACACTTGGGCTTTGAGTAGCATGCTTGCAGCCATATTCCAAAACATCAACAGGATTATCCTTTATCTGTTTAATAATGTCACCCTTTGGGCACATTCAAAATTACAATTTGATAGTAGCATCTGTGGGGACTAAGAGGGGCACAGGCAGGTTGTCCAGTCCTGGGCTCAGAAGCATTAAGTAGGGAAATGATTTAAACTCTTTTTGTAGCTTAGAGAAGCTCTTCAGAAGGGAGAAATAGCTTTAGGGTTCATAACAGTACTCTATTGCTTTTGGCAGTTAAGGAGAGCTCTTCTCCCAGCGAGGAAGATTATTTTGCTTGTCAGTCATGGAAACCAGCACTTGAGGAACCGGTAACAAGAGTAAGTAAAGTCCATTGCTCACAGTTGCACAGAGGGGGCAGCGGCCTCCTCAAGTCTGTTAACACCATGAACTTGAGACTTTTGAACAAATAGACCCTGAGGAAAGAGAAAGCAATGGGCTCCATGCTTTTTTCTTTTATGAAGTATGTTGTAATATACTAGGAAAAAACTCCTTCCCCAGGTAACTGCTCTTGTTAAAGGACTCAGGGCAGAGGTTTCTCACACACAGAGAGCTTTTGCGCAAGAGACGCAATTGCTTTAGTTGGCATAATTTGCCCCCATGTTAGTTTTCCCTGGATTTGAGTTTGACTGTATTTTAGAATAACTGTTACCTTTTCATTCAAGAGAACTGTACAATGTGCATCTTTGCACATCATTGATTTGATAGAAATCAAATATTAGGCATAAAAGTCAACAGGAACAAGTGGAACATGGGAGGCTAAATAGCCATTCAAACATGCATTGGTATAACATTTCCCAGTCTAGTATCCCCCATTTGTATTAGGACAGCAACTTCTCATGAAGTCTGGAGACTGTGGGATTTGCACAGCCAACTCATCTGGAGGGACACCAAACTGAGGAAGAGCATACTAGGAAAGTTTCTATTTCCATACTCTTCTAATAAATCTTGTGATCCTTCAGGCTCAGGAGCATCTGCCTCCTCAAAAAAATAAGTTGTGCAATTTGAAACAAGCCTTTGTTGATGCCTGTTCCAATTCCCAGCTTTACTGTAGCACTGATTCAGGATAATAGCTTGATATTATAGGCAAGAAAGAAAAGAAGAATGAAAAAACATGGGGGGGGGAATCCCTCAGCATCACTGACTCGCTGGAACTGTGCCACTTCAATAAGTGGGTTCCAGATGGAAAACTCTCTTCTTGATGATGACTTATTAACTGGGAAATCTTGTTTCCTTTCCCCTTGCTTGCTCTTAGACAAACAGTTTATCCACTTACATAACAATCTGAGAGTGCACAGCAAATCTTATTAACTCCAAAAAAGACTTAACAGCACCAGTTCTTCTTGGTCTACAATACTATGAAGGAATAAAATGTTAACAGTACTACAAGATAGTAGTTTCTGATTACGTTCAGGTACATTGTTAAGTAAAATGGGTTAGGGCAGAATAAACCTGGTCCTCCCTGTGTGCGCTAAGGCCAGATTTAACAGCACAGAATGACAAAAATTAATACAAATATAGCCATGGTGGTGTTTTACACCGAAGGCTAGGATTTAACTTTCAGGCTTTGAGCAATTTCTTTTATTTGTGAATTACTGCTAACTAATCTTACATTCCATCATCTTTGCAGCTGTGCAAGTCAAATTAAACTGGGAGAAAAAACCTACCATATAAAATGCCTTTTGTAGAAGTCTCAAAATAGGATCGAACAGGGAGAGAGGTTATGCTGCTTCAGGCCTTATCTTAAAAGCAGAAAAAAGAAGGAATGATGTGAGTCTGCTTTCTCCCACTCCACCTGCACAGTCAAATATTTTGCTGGCATTCTAAGTTGGAAAACTATGAAAGGGAAAATAGCATTTACGTTCTTAGCCTCTTACACAAGGATATGGCAGAGGTCAAGGAAACCTTAATTTGATCATCCTTTCCCAAATCTTACCTTGATTGCTACAAAGTAACAGCCACAACAAACAGAGCAATGGTCTCTGTATAGTTCTAACAGGAGAGCACCACACTTCATGAAGTTCAACAGCAGTATTCAAAGAAATACATGGCCATTATCTTGTGGACTACATCCCTCTCTTTTTTCATTTTTCAGAAGTTTAAGACAACGCTTGACACAACAATCCCCATGGTATCTCTGATAGGACAGAACAGTGCTCGCTCAAAATATGGTTTCAACTATATGATGTATCTTCCTTCTACAACTGATCTGCATTTAAGGAGGTACTGCAATGCTAAATGACAAGTTAATGAATAGGACTGAAAAGGAGTGTGTGGCTTCTTCAAATACAAAGCAGGCCTCATAATTTGTCTGACAAAGTACTTTTACTTTTATGACTTGCAATTCCAGTTCTGAAAAAAGCATTAATATGTGTTTAGCTACTTTGGAAGGAAGAATCACCTTACAAATTATGAAAAGTGTTTTAGGCATGAGAACAGAAGAGAAGGAGAAGGATCACTGTAAACAGGTTCCTTCACTGTTGATAACTGAAATGGTAATGGGTTGAGCTGAAGAAAGGTCTCCCCTTGCTAAACTAATGAAAATTTGGCAAATAATTCAGCATGTAATAAGGGAAGGGTCAGATTCTCCAACTGTGACTGATGGCTTCTTTCCAGCAGCACCTTCCAGAAATACTTTTCCCTTGTGTGTCACATTTCCAATAACAAAATTTAGCAAAGCAGGCAAACAGAAGAAGAAGAAAATGGGAAGATTGGTTATTGCAAGGTCAAATAAGGCCCGGAATGCTTCAACACCTGTTCCCTAGATGCTTTTTCATAATTAACATGAGAGAAGTCAACTTTTGTGTTCTTGGCAAATAGGAATAGACAGTTCCGTGTTTAAGCATAAAGGGGTGAATCAATGGTAAGCCACTTTTCTCTTTCAATCCAGCCCTAACTTTGCAAACATAACTGAAATTTTGCATTTCTCTATAAATAATGATGCGAGCAAGTGAATGAGACTGCTACTTGATAGGTTTATCCAGTATCTTCATATAAGACTGGAAATGACACTAAGTATTCTGTGGGTTGGGTCCAGTTAGTTAGAGAAAACACACTGGAATTCAAGGGTGTTAGAGACCGGTTGGAGTCTCGTTGATTTAGTGGGCTTACTCTAAGCATGAAAATCTGAATCCATTTTACAAAATATTGTAAATATTGGGTACTGCTTCCCTACAGACCGATGTCGCAGTTATCAAGGATAGAAGCAGAGTTTTGGAGGATCCTAGGATTTTTCATGGGCTACAAATGTTTAAGCTTCAACATAAGAACATACTGAAGATTTTGTGTAAACGTTATTGGTATCATCATGCATTTTAAAAATCTGACCAGAAAAGAACACCTTATAGCTTGGATTGCTGCATAATTCATGTATTGTAAACCTCACTCCAAAATTTTCCAATATTAATTTTGAAAACTACAATACAATACTTGGTTTCAAAATATTCACAATAATAATTATCCATACATACTTGTCTGAGTTCCAGTTCACACAAACCCTTGTTTCTTTTGTTAGCAGACACAGTTTGTGGGACTTGTGTGGAGAAAGATACAGTGTGAACAATGGAAAGTAACAAATCCCATGAATATGGCAGCATTTGCTCCAAATGCCACAATTAAAACAGGGCCGCCTACTAGCCATTGGGAGTCCCTGATTCTCATAACAACACTATCCATATTACAAATCAACGGCCAAGTGATAACTGTATCCATCTGACTATGTATCAATGGATAGGTGAGACTACTAGAATAGCATTTCACATTGTATCCAAATGCTGAAGCTTGTGAACAATGTATTTTCTATTTAAATCTAAAAATTATCTACATAAACTTAGAGAAATTTTAACTGAAAGTACATTTGTTGTAAAAAGACATGAAAAGTTGAGGTAAATGAGGAATTGTTAAGAACCATCCACATCTGACATAAAGATGTGGGTATATATTGGTCACCTGACTTGACGAAAACACAATATCTGGATGTATGCCACATATTTCTTCCAAGCACAAATAAATTAAAATGACTTGGTCAGATTGTTCTACACTTCTGTGCTATTTGGTAATTTCATGCTGAAAGTAGTCACTTCAAGCAAGATGGATTGTTTACACGTTAGTTGAGGCAGAAATGAGTACCTGAAACCAATGAGTCTGCTGCTCAAGGAACATGAAAAAACATATCACTCAAACTAAGCTAGGTGCGGCTGCCTATGTCCCCAGTCTCTTAATCACGGTGAGAGAAGGCTGACACTTGAAGCTGCAGCTGGTTACCTGAGGGACCAGTTGTATCATCCTCCCACTGGCTGAGTCAAGGAAACCACCCTAGCTCCTGAGACCACTCAAACAGCTGTTCTAAACATCAGTGATGTAGTCATCTGAAAGAACTTCGGTGGCACAAGCCCTTTCTCCTTTCCTTTCAAAGCCTGCTAAAGAGAAAGGCTGCTGGGGGAATTGATTCTCTCTTCGCAGCAGCAGTTTAATTGGAGAGAAATCAAGTTGTTCCTTTCAACTGCTCCGCTTGCGTAGGGGCACTGTTACTCTCAGCAATGAATCAGGCTGCTGAATCAGAGAAGCTGGGCTGTGTTGCTCACGAGAAGATAGGAAATCAAGTACAGATGAGAGCTCATGAGACCTGGCAACAAGATATGCACAGCTGCTTGGGGCATTTCCTACATATGGGGAGCCTTGCTTTGAGCAATCATTGAGATATCTGGCCTTTTTGGCAAGCTCTGCAGGGCAGCTTTGGCGGTCGGAGGGTGGCCCATGTTGAGCATTGCAAATCTCTCTGGCATATTTGTGCATGAGTGAGCGACAGGTTGATGGCTGTTGATTGTCTTATGGAGGCTTCTATCCACAGTGGCTCTGAAGAGAAGAAATTCAGTGAATTAGGAGGTAGGTTTAAGGGACCAAATGAAAAGGAACAGACACTCTTCTATTCTTCTAAGTGCCCTCCCACTTTGGTCATTAACAAGGAGATGAAATTGCTGGATTGTAAGTATGGAATATAGCACAAATATGGTAATGGTAAACCGACTCAAAGTTCCTTTGTCATGTAGTGATTCCCCACACCCCACTTTTTTTTTTTGGTAGTTAAACTGCAAGTGGGCAAGAGGGAATGGTTGAGAAGTAGACAATCGGAGAAAGGATTTCATGCCTAGTGTTTGAGGTCAAAACGGACAGGTGCCTTGGCTGCCTGGGAGTTCTTGCCCTCCAACTTCAAGTTGTAGAGTGTGAAGATGAACTTGCAAGTACTTCTTGGTGAAGGAAATGCACTGATCCTGTATTTTCAGAATCCTTAGTTCTTATTAGTTCTTTCTAACAAGAAAGGTTAAGGCTGTACTGCCCAATTCAGAAGATATGGACTGCTGTGGAAGACTGCATTTCCAAACTGCTTTCTTCATTACTTTACCATCTCGGGGGGATTACTTAGTCACGGCAGAATATTGTCACATCAAGTACTTTTCTGCCCCACTATAGTAAATTGTTGGTTGGTGCTGGCAGGGAGGAGTGGTCGCAATAATGTTATATCACAGATAAATTAAAAATGTTATCAGGTAGAGGAAAAAAGTGACACAGGTAGTTCACTATGGGAAAAAAATAATTGTTAAGCTTGAATATGAGGTATCACATTCAAATGTTTTTAAATTCTGCTGTACTTAGGCATAGCTTAAATCAAACTAGGTATCAGAAAGAATATATCACTCCCTTCTAAAACCCCAGAAATTAAAACTTCAACAGGGTCACGTTCTATAGTGAACAAGTTTGCCAGAACACCTACTATGGGAGCATGTGAACAGAGACCAACTGGCATCTATTCAAAGACGAGCAACGGCTATTGGAAGTTGCACATCCTGCCTCCCAGAGCTCAATGGATAAGGGTGGAAAAAATGCTCACTTCCCTGCCCCAGCTATGTCTCACAGCTGCAGAAGCGAGAAAAGGCAACTTCTATCTCTGTCAATGGATGGAGGACTAAGGGATAGCAGGTAGCAACAGCAACACTTCCAGCAAGAGAAAATCAACTTGGCTTGCAACTTAATTTAGAAATCTGTGTGTGTTAATGATGAATGTTTTGGACTAGGACTGGGGTATCTCAGGTTCAAATCAACCCTCAAGCCTAGGCACCTGTCCGTTTTGACCATCAAACACTAGGCATTCTCATTTGGCCACTTTGGGCCAGTTATTATTTCTTAGCCAAACCTACCTTATAGGGCTGCTGTGGGGGAAAAAGAGAGGAGGGAGTGCTGTGTGTCACCTTGAGCTCCCGGAGGAATGAATATAAATCAAATAACATTGCCCCAAATTAAAACTATGTCAATAGATTTTGACCATTATGTGACAGTATTAGGCTAGTGGCTTAAACAAGCTCAAATATACCTAAATTGGCCCAATATGATAAGTATGAATCAGCCTTTATTTCATGCAACTTTGAGGTAAGTAGCCAAACCTGCTATTTGTTGCTCCAAAAGCTGCTGGTCCTGAAATGGGTCTTCTAATCTGTTTGCTGCCACAAGTCCTTTGCCTTTGTGTGAAGAGTGCTGCATTAGATGATGCATCTGGTTTTCGGTGAAGATTCAGAACAGCAGTCCTTTCAACCATATGCTGCATGGCATCCCTGTTCCCAGCTAATGGAGACTGTAGCTTTAGAAGATCTGCTTTTTTTGAATTGGGTATTTTCAGGTGTCTAGCTCTCACAAGTCCAGCTGTCACACCTATGGATGCAGGTGAAGGACATTTTGGAGGAGAGGGTTGGAGACTGCGCTTTACAATGCTCGGTAACGCATTGGCAAGGATATGGGACGAATCTGAAACACAAGAGGAAAGCACACCACCAATCTAGCAGCAAAATATTTCATCCAAAAGGCTTTCAAAATGTTGCTGGGTTCTAGAAGAGGAACTTACCAGGATGGAAGAATGGCCTGAATTCCCATCTTTAAGTATAATTCCAACATTCTAAAGAACTGACAATTTTATACAGAGCTCTCAATTTCAGTAGAATACATATAGTAATATAATATAATATACACACGTGTGTGTGTGTGTATCCTATCTGAATATTTTATATAACTTAATAACAGGGGATACCTATAAATTTGCAGTTCTATGAACAGCAGTTCTTCAGAATTTCTACTGAATAGCTTCTGCCACATTTTTAGCAGGTGCTAAGCAGAACTCTTCCTAGGCTAGAATTAGAGTGAATACATTTCTATGTAATTCTACTGTGATTAAAGGAGTTATACCAAGTTCTAGTGTACAGATTCTCAGTGTATCTCACAGTTCTTTTCCTTAACAGGGTTTGTGCACCGTGCTAAGCCATTTAACTAACAATTGCAAACCATGAACTACAGCAGCTGAGTTTACACAACAATGAAAAGGGGTGACTTATCTCTGTGGCTTGCCTGTTAAATCTTTTCGTTACACCTGTACAGGTCTAAACTATTTGCCTTCCACCAGATGCAGATCAATACCTGTAGTGAGGCAGGAGAGCTGGAGAAGCTGCTGCTAATGTTTCTAACACACTATAAATTCCATACCTATTTTTCTAGAGGCCTCCTACACAGTGAGCTAAGAGCACCTTCTCCTTTTCATCAGCATCTGCTTGTTTTAAGGATACCACACTTTAAGTATTATATAAAATGGCACTCAATTTTGCCCTATTAGTTCTATACCTGATGACACCTGAGAAAGATGGGGACAACAAGAAGCATCTGATGAGGTAATTTGTGTGATGTCCTTCTGAATGGCTTCTTTGAGATCTTCATCACAGCTGTCACTCAGACTGCAGCCTTCTTCCTCCTCTTCCCCCTCCTCATCACTATGTGTTATTTTCAGCAGCTGGGGAGATTTCTCCCTTTGGAGAGCTTGCAAATGCCTGCCAGAGATTTACCTATTTAATTAAATGTTCATCCTGCCCAAATTTTATAACATACTGCACATTAAAATTATACATCAGTATTTACCAGATATTTATGTACACTTACCATATACAACATATATTACGTGTTATATACCTTTAAACTAAAATAACTACCATAAGCAAAGAAAAAAAATCCACGGTAATGCTTTCTGTTATGAACTTTGCCCCATGCTTTAAAAAAAAAATCCCAAACCCAAATGTTACAGCACTTTCAGGAAGATGATCAAATTCAGTCTTTAGCAAGTCTCTCTTGAGAAAAAAAATGCCACAAAAAAACTTCAGGACTTATTTCTGGGAGCATTGTTTTTGTCTTTCTCCTAACTTGACAGATCAGGTACGGGCAATAGGCTTTCCCCACTTATTCTTCTTATGCAAACTAGCCCTAAAATCCTAATTATTTGTTTTTGTTTCTTATTTTGTAACTACTGATGCTGGCACAGTAATTCCTTGTGGTGAGCATGACTGAGGGCTATGACATTAGACAGACCATGATATGCAGACTCATAATTATCATGAATTTTCTTTTCCAATTAATTAAACTGTTGACTGTATTCTACCACCAACAGAGGAAGGGCATTGGCTTAAAAGCGAAAAATCAGCAAAAGCATTAACTGAAGCGTATCTCTTTATTTTTGGATAGACAACTATCTATCTAGAAACTCTTAACAATTTTTATTTGATTTCTCCTCCTTCTCTTGTTTTGTTCGTAAACTTTAAAATGCTGAATGAAAATAGAAGGGAATATGAATGGCAATTACTGAGCATGGCCACAAGATGGCTGACATGTTCATTACAATGGAAACAAGAGAAAAGCTAGACTTATTTTTTCCTATGTGATAACCTAGAATACTCCCTAAAGGACAGACTTTTCATGGCCCAGGACTTTCACAGCTTTCACCCTGAAAATGTGTGTATATTTTGAATGAAATAGGAAAATGCAGTATAAACACTTCCCTATCAAAACATTCCTAATGTTTGTCTTTCCGCAGGGTTTATAGTGTGACACAATGCAACCAGTTTATCATCAAATGGAGATTACATTCACTTGCTGATTTATCTTGGGAGCCTCATCTGGTAAACTCTAAAAACTCCTGCTTAATAATGGACTAAATTTTGGCTCTTACTGGTAATGATGCTCTTGCAAGACTTTCAGCTCAGCAAAGATGTCTTTCCCATTTGCACTGCCAGTTTCTTCAAAGTCATAAGTATGCTCTGCCAGATGACACAGTGGCTGGAACAGGTTTGTTACTGAAGACTACAATATTAGAGGAATTATATCAAAATATATCTGCATTCACTGAAAATTTTCAATTTTGCTAGGGATTATCTTTTAAATCTTAATTTCTCTCATAATCACCCCATCATGGCCAATGCTTATTGTACCAACAGGAACCTGCTGTTGTGCCACAGTGACTGGAGGTAAGAGGGGCAGTCTGACGTACTACTGCAAAGCAAATATACAAGATCAGGCTATGTTGCAACCCAACTCCATCTGTTGTTTGTCTCCTGGTGAAGGCTTAGGTGTGCTTTTCTCTACATCAGATCTGTTCCTTCCTTTGAAATGTCCCTAACAGCTTCCCCATTTTACTTTCACAAGCATGAATCTCCATGGTGAATGAAGAGGTTTGCCAGAAACCCATCACAATCAAAACTAAAAAATAAAAGGTTGATAATATAACTAGCAATATACTAACAAGCAGCAGAAAACTTTATATGGGCTTTTCAGCTCTAGAAGCAGACTATGCAAATATGTACTAAACTTTTAATGGCTTATTTTGATAGTGGTTTTTTAAAAGTTCACTTAAATCTATAGAATTTGGTAGCTCCCATAAACTTATTCTTAGGATTCACATCACAGCCCTCTTCTAACCTTCCCTTACCTCCCTTCAAGAAAGTCCTTTTGAAAGAAACTTACACCTAATTTTTGTCTTCGTGCATGAAGAGCTTTGATGGGGTTCCCACATATAACTCTGCTGACACCTGACAAAAAAATAAAAAGGGGAGGGTTTTTTCCTAATTTACTATTTCATATGCTTAAAAAACTCTTGTCTTCACCAAAACTTCATATACAGGCTTATATGCAGTTATGCTTTCTCCATATTTAGAAACAGGTATTTAGAAAAAAATGAATCAACTTTCTGTTTTGGTCAATTATTACTCTAAACCACAGAAAAAGCACATTTGTGAGCTGAGGTGGGGTTAGTAGGAATGGGCAAAATGCTCAAGAATACTTTTCCTCACTCAGCTTAAGAAAGCATGATAGCTAACTTGACTTTGGAAAAATAGTAACTCTTAGACAGCAGTTTCATTATCTGTGCAGCGAAAGGTCTGAGAACAGCCAACCACACTGCAGAGATTACTTGATTGAAAGTAATCTCTAATACTAACATAAAACTGAATCACTCTCTTTAACATATGTGTATATTTCCCAATTTCATTTACAGAAAGATTTCTGCAAAAGTAAGCTTATGGAAATATTCATGTAAATACATTTACCACAAGCACCATAAATGCACATATTGTCCAAACATTTTTATAGGAGAAAGAAAGTTCCATTCTTACTTGCTTGCTTCCACATGTTCTGTTAAGGAGAGGTTTGAGAATAGGAAATGGTCAAGAAGAGCACAAGGTGTTTCATTACCATGGGTCAAGTCACTTGAATCATCTTCAGGCAATATCTCATCACAGATGGTAGATTCCAGGAGAGTGCTACAACCAGAAAGCAAATGGGCACTAGGAGATCTCTGGACAGCCTGAGGTCTGGAACCTAGCAAAAAGTGAGTTGAAGCAGGCCGTAGAGCAGAGCCCAGCCTTCTTGTTAGGAGTCCTAACTGAGAATCTAAACCGAAGAAGGGTAGGGGTCAGGAGAAGAATGATAAAACGATACTGTAGCATGAATATGCTGTAAGTGTCCAGTTGAGAGAAGCACAGAAAATAAATGACATTTCCCTAAAGTAAAGTAACATTCCCACTAGAAAGTAGTGGCAAAATATTTCTGTTACTGTTGCCAAGAAAACTATATGGATTCATTCATATGGATTCATTCATGACTACATCAAAAGTTAGGTTCAATGCAAAAGAAACTTGTCTGTAAACCAACATCAGGAATTCTGTTCTAAAGGCTGAACGCTGTGCCATTTACTAATCACAATTTTTGTGTCAGTGATTATTCAGGTCAGAATGCAATAGAGAGTGCAATCATTCATAAAGACCCTTGCAATATAAGGATTTTAAAAACAGAAAAACATGCACACATATGCATATAAGCGATATCTTGAATGTTAAATAAGGGGCTCATATCTGAACTGTATTGCTGTGCTTTCCTCTGTGTCCTTGAGCTGGGAGGAAACCATGTCAGCATAAATCACATTGTCCCCACAGTTGCCTTTGCTACCAGAATGGGGACTGTGCTGTACTGCTATCTGTACTGCTTCTCCACAAGGCACTGTAAGGGCAATAACTTGCAATTTTCCCTGCCTGAAATTTGAATGTCACCTACTACAGGAAAAGCTGCCACGGATCACCTTAGAGGAGGCATGTTGGGATGGTGCTGTAAAGTCTGGCCTTTCATCTGATCAATCCTTTTCCTATTGCTCCCCCGACAGGACTGTTAACTTATCAACCTAACAACCAATAGATGGCAGCAAAGAGTTCTCTCTTAACTGCCAGGTAGTGATTGCCTCCATTTGTGCAATCCAGATGTAGGTGCTATATAAATATTTTTGGAGCCAAAGTTCAAGGCTGGGGTTTTTGTGTGTCTGTGAGAGAAAGGTGTTCGGTTATGGGGTGCTTTCAGAACATCGTCATAGTTTCTCCAAAATGACTGACCTCTTAACCAATTAACCATTCGGTGGCAGCAAAGAGCTTTTTTTCCCCTCTTTTGGCTGCCATCTGGTGGTAATTTGGATTTGTGCAGCCAAGATGGAGCCGCTGCTAAGTACTGCTAAAGAGCCAGAGTTTGAGAAATCACTTTATTGATTCTGATATTAAATTATGATATACATATAGTTCTGATCATCCAGAAGGGTAGTAGAGAAAAAAAATGTTTGTCTATGTTGAAACCCTATCTGTACCAGGTTACAATCAATGGTGGACTGAACTTTTTAAAGGAACATTCCGTGAGGAGAGGAACTGAGGAGCCAGGACTTCCCTGAGAACAGCAACTGCTGTACTGGAAAAGGAATTCAATTACATTTTCACTTAGATGCCTTAAGCCAGGTATGGGCTGGTCAATTTCAGGTCTTCCAACACTCTAGGAATCCATGGGTGACTAACCTGGCAATGGTATCAGAAGCCAGGGTTCTGCTCTCCCTTATAGCCAAAACAGCACAGCAGAACAGGCGCCAAGCCCAAGGATTGGATGAAAGGGGACAATGGTAGTCAAGCAGATAGCCACCCCCACCCGTGCCACCTTACACCACCTCCTCCATGCACCATGGTTTGTTTCAGATTTTCCCAGGGAAAACACTACAGTATTTGAATGCCGGAATGTCTTGGACCAGCTTCAGCCTCCCTGAGCAGTGGGCAGATTGCCTACGACATGAAAACTCCATTGTGAGGACATGTTTTCAGCAAATTGTAAGACATGGGATGTCTTCATGCCATGATAGGTAGGCTCTGTGGATAAGCAGAAGGTGGATATCTATGTTATAGCATCAGCTAAATGTATCTATTGCTGTATCAGCATTGATATTTTAAACCAAAATAAAGAGTTTCACAGCCCTACTGTCTCCTTAACTTAACTCAAATGAGGAGTGCAAAATGGTTCAAGCATGAAGTGTTTTAAAATCAGTGGGGCAAAAAACAGTCCACACAATAAAAGCACATGCGTTTCAAGCACTTTATTTCAAATGCAGAACAAAATATATTGTTTTGAGTGGCACTCTTTTGACTGCTGTGCTATTCTAGGCAGCTTGACTGGATTTTTGTCTTGTGTCTTGCCTTATTGTTTTTAATGCCCTTCTTTACAACTATAGCAATTACTATTTCCTCAGCCTGGAAGGGGTAATATTTGGGAGGGGGGGAATGGAGCACTGGGGAATAGGAGAAAAAGAGCAGGGATATAAGCAGAGCACAGTGCTCATTGAAGAACTATTCTGGATCAGCTCTGCTGTAGCTGAGAGATGATCAGAACTGCTGTCAGAGCTCTGCAACTAGATTGCTGCTGGTGCTGCTGGCAAGTAGGGAGGTCCAAAGCATTCAAAAGGGATGCTCTACAAAGTGCATTGGCATGGGCCAAGCACCCTTCCTTGAAGCATTAAAACAGCCACATCCTCTAAAAGGTTTAGTGGAGCTATTTCAAAAGGTCCCTTACCCATCTGCCCCTCATTTAGGCATTCAGACAATACTTCCATGAAGTCTGTCAGCAAAGCAGCTATGCACATACAGGCAAATGGAGATAGTTGGTGAAAGTCATCAAAGCAACTGCCCAAAGTCTTCTGGAACATGTGGCTGCTTAAAGTTTCAAAAAGTGTGCTTTGTGAAGCACTCTTTTCAAATGCTTTCCATGGCTATATCTGGCTGCTTGCAAATAAATCTCTATATTTGTTTGCTCAGGTTTGGATGTATACATGTCAGGGTGGGTTTAAGAAACTGATTCCCTATGTCTGTCTGGTTGCTTATTTGTACGTAGAGCATTGGTTGTGTTTTGCTAATGGGCTGTTAGCGCATTTATTTAAATGGTTGTATTGCTGGCAAAAACAGTGTTGCAGGTGGCATGGTGTCTGTGGTCTTGCTGTTTTAATGTTCAGAAATGCTATTCATGGAGTCACATCGCACTAGGGCCTTTTTTGCAGCCACCATTAGCCACAATCCACCAGATATTTGGAAGCATTTAAAGAAACCCTATAGTTTAAGATTGGAAGTGAAAGTGTGCTTGGTGCCAGTTAGGCTAGGAAGGTGGGACGGGACATGCTAACTACCCGCTAATTGAAGAATGCTGATGACAGATTCGCTTTTTGTCCTTCCTATACAGTATGCGAGATCTAACAGGATAGGAACAAGGAGTTCTTTGTTATGTTACAGTTGTCTCTGATCTGGGTGCTTATATGTTTGCCCGCACATTCCATATTGCCAATCTTTCTACAAATTGGTTGGCCAGTAGTATTATGTGTGGACTGCTATCCCACCCACTTTTGTGGCTTTTGGGTGAAAACCAAAGCATCCCAGAACATTTTGATTCTGTTCCAATGGAACCCTCAAGCTGATTCAGGTTTTGCTCTGCCAGAATGAAGCCAATTCAAAACATTCTGTAAAGCATTCCAGGTGGGATTATTTTTTTTCTAAGTTCAAAACAAAACAGATTGTCCCTGTCACACACAGTCCTACTTAAGATCTACAGAACTTATTAGTAAAAGAACAAGAACATTTTCCTCAAAAAGAATAGCACAAGATCAGGATTCATTATAAGCAATTTAATCAAAGGGTTACAACAGTCCTCATTAGGAGGCTACTGCTATAAAATATTCTGTTACAGGTCAAAAGCCACCTCAAGATGGTCTTCAGCGAGAACAAGAAACAATGGTGGTAACAGACCCATGTCTTCTAAAACAAGTTTGAACTGAACAGTAGTGAAATGAGAAGGCATTTTGAGAGATGCTGAAACATTGCCCTGTCTGTTGCTCCCAACCTTCAGCCTCAAATTAGCAAAATGTACACGAAAGAACGTGGGGATATTGAGGAAAAAAGTAGCAAGCTGAAAAAGAGTTCGGTATCTTCCCATCACTTCCACATCTCCACTTGAAAGGACAGTAGATATTTCGGTCCTGGTGAGCAATTATTTGGTTAATGATTACATATACAGTACATTTTTATTATATTACTGTATAATAAAATATTATATTACTGTATAGATTTTTACTCTCTGTGTTTGTTAAGACGCAGCGGGCAAGAATGTTATGGTTAGTTCCAAGTGTTAATCCATATGAGGAGCAGATGAACTGAATATAACCCCTGAAACAATTTGCACTCTGTCCTGAAAGCAAATTTGAAAAATCTAAAATGGTTTATCCAATGAGAAGATGTCCCGGATAGTAAAGACTGAGTAGGCACTGGTTTCTTATTAAACTTAATCAGCCTATGAAGAAGCTGATTCAAGATGCTAAGATCCAAGGAGCAGCTGAATTTAAAAGATGTGCTACCCATCAGCTTATGGCTGGTTTGAGGAAAAATCAAATATAAGCAGCTGAGGTGGTGGTGGTAGCACCAACAGGAAATCAGCAGATTTCGAAGGAAGAAGTGTCTCAGACTCAAGAATCTTCAATCTGAGGAGAGCAGATTGAAAAGAAAAAAAGTTGAAATTATTATTGAAATCAGATTAATGGGAAGCCACATGGTTTGGGAATGGGTGAGATCTCACCACAGCACACAAGACCAGTGTCCTGAGGAGACTGGTGGCCGAGGCTGCTCTTAGCAAAAGAGGAAGACAGGGTATGGTCATACAAGTAGTCCTCATTTAGCGACTGCCTCATTTAGTGACCATTTGCAGTTACAATGGTGATGAAAAAGTAACTTTGTGACCAACCCTTGCATTTTATTTTATTTTATTTTTTATTTTATTTTATTTATTAAATTTCTCACCCGAAAAATTTCTTCACAGGTCTCTAAAGCAAAGGAAAGCTGAATAAGATAGTAAGCATAGTTGCTGTTTCACTCAGTGACTACTTCATTTAATGACCAAGTTGCCAGTCCCAACTATGGTTGCTAAATGAGGACTACCTATACTAATCATTCTATGAAAAAGCAAATCTGTTCTACCCTAGTCCTACAGGAAAATTCCTACTTTGAATTTGGGGAAAAATAATTTGTTAGAAAACATAGAAAGGTCAGTGATTTTTTCTCTTTAAAAGCTCCCTGAACGTTTTTGTAACAGCAAGTGTACTGCATATACTCAGGGATAAGGCAAGAATTTTAGGTGGCAAAATAAACAAAATCAGGTTTGGCTTATCCACGAGTATATATGGTAATACTTTTTAAAAGTACCTGTATTTCCCATCTGTGGATAAGATGACCCTTCAATTTTTAACCAAAATACCATGAAAAATCTGTGGGTGGTGCATTTTTCACGGTATTTTGGTTAAAAATTGAAGGGTCAGCTTATCCGCAGATGGGCTTATCCATGAGTATACAGTATATTTGAATTTTTATCTGTGTTTTATTTCACATATAGTTATAATGTATTATTTTTAATTGCCTACGGTCAGACAATCCTTACTTCCGTGTCCAGTAACATGCCACCCAAGGCTCAATTTATGCAAATTTATTGCATTTATAGCACATCTTTTCTCTGACAGCTCAAGATAGCTTATATGGGCATCTTTCCTAACACAACAATAATTCTATAAGATGCAATGGGCTGAGAAACAGATTCTGGCTGAAAAATGCCCTGTGAGCTTCATGATTGAAGGGCAACCTGAACCTAGTCTGGTCCAAGTCCAACACTACTTTGGCATTTTCCCCTGAAAAATATAAAATTAATGGGATTTTCCCCTGTGATACTTATAACAGAATGGCCTGGAGGTATCCATATTCCAAGATATCCATTTGGGTTTACATGTTGGGTTTTTTTTTTTTTTTTGCATAGTTTACATTTCAGTACAGGTAGTCCCCAGTTTAAGAACAAGTTCCGTTCCCAAGGTCTATCCTTAAGTCATATTTTTATGTGAGTAGGAACAGTATTATTGTATAATACTGTATAAGTAGTATTGTGTAATTAACTCGAACCATTGTGCATTTAAATCACTGTGTATTTAACTTGAATCTTGCTACAATAGGATCAGTTCTTAACTATGGGTCATCTGTAAACTGGGCATTTTTAACCTGGGGACTACCTGTATCTAAAAATACAGTTCTATTGCTACTGCATTTAGCTTTACCCTATACTGTACTCCTTTCTCTACTCAACCAAATGATATTTATTTTTTATTGTATGCCACCCAGAGTCACTTTTTGTGAGATGGGCTGCCATATGTGACAAATAAATAAATATTTCCCATTCTTAGTATTGATAATCAGTTTCTGCATGTATGTACAGATATTCTTTCCTCTTAAAATCTTATTGCTATTAAAACAAAGTCTTACAAAATAATTTAGCACACCTGAACCTGAAGCCTCCTCAATTAAACTTCCTTCTTTGATTGATTCCTTGACAATAAGCCAGTCCTTATTCATTTTGCATGGGAAAGGAATAACTGTTTGATTTGCTGGTATTTCATCCAAACATTTTAAATGAGGAATCAGTTTTTTCACTTCAGCTCTGTAATTATAATCTGGGTCCTAGAAAAAAACCCCAGAGAAAAGAATGCCTTCAGTTATTTTGATTACACTTGTAGGAAACACTCGGAGAAACAGGTAAAGTTGGAAAATAACTATAAACGTAGCAATATTTAAACTTCTTGTAAGATTAGCACTTTTTGTGATCATCATGAACAAAACCAAGCTCGATTTAGTTACAGATGCACTAAATATGTAACCCATGTAAATATATTAAATTTCAACTCACTTATTTAATCATCAGTATTTAGATACTATTAAACAAATTGCTTTTGGAATATGGTGAAGCTGTCTGTGCAATTTATGTCAACTTTTTAATATCTCCTTTCCTTCTCTGTCAGATTTTTACTCCACCCTACTGCTTCTTTTATTCCATCTTCACCACATAATATATTACTGTTAAATTTGCCTTATCTTCCAATTAACACACTTAGATAAGATAGTGTCTGCTACCAGATGCCTCTGTCATTTATCATCCAGACTGGTTTGGGTTTCTGCCTCCCAATTGTCTGGCAATGACCACAAGGAAAATGCGTATCTTTTAAAAAGCCAAATTAGCTGCTACAGGGACCTGATTAATCTTGAGATTCTGCAGATTGCCTTTAGCCACAACTATTGTTTACTGACAAAGAAACAAAACAGCCATACAATTGCCATTCTGTGACTATTATTATTACCCAGAATTTGGCCCTAATATTAGATGAAACAGATCTAATGACCAGTAGTGGATTGTCTGTACAAAGACTATTCTGGTTACTGTGGTACTGAACTCATTCCATCCTCCTTTTCTGTCCTTCCTAGCAATTATTTTGCTAGTCCTCAGAATTCTATTTTTTTAAAAAAAGAGGTAATCTTTTTACCTCTTGAAGTACACCTATCCCTGATCTAAAGTGTGGCAGGTTCCTTTTACAATTTTCCCTTTGTACCGTTTTCTTACATTAACATTTGTTCAGCAATAAAGGACAGTTTATATGTCTCCTCTTATCCCTAGTATGATAAACAATAGAGGCTCCCTCTTACAAAGTCCAGCTCCCCTGTTGTGCTTCAGCCAAGATATACGCAAAGAGTGAGCATCTGGAGAATTGAAGAAAGCACTTTCTTCAAAATTTTCCTCCGTTATTGCTTATACTGAACCAGAGGAGGTCAGTATTATTTTTAATCTTGTTTGTTTATAATAATTATTTTTTAATCGTAACTAGCTGGATACCATGCTAAAAAGCTAAAAAGACTATAAAATACTTTAAATAAACATGCAATATATCTTTCTTTCTCTTGTTTTTTTTTAAGTTTCCGGTCCCTAGAGCTGCTATCCAGCTTTCCAGCAAAAGCCAGAAGCAGGCAAGATGATTTTTATTCATCAAGATACTTCTATTCTACATTTCACTTAACTTTCTGAGGGGACTAGCTGTGCAAAAATGTGAAATGGGTGAATGCGAAAATGTCCAAAGAGTGACAAATCTAGTGAAGGGGCTGAAGCTATAGAAACAAGCCCTTTTCTTTGTAAGAATCACATTTAGCTAATTAAGCAAAGTATACTGTATTTATTTCAGATAAAAGGACATAGAGCAATTATTTCAAATTAAAAGAGGGATCTTGATTAAGCACTGAAATATAAATAGACGGTGACAGACTCCCTTTCTTTGGAAGTGCCCAAAGAGAAGCTGGTAGACACCAATCTTAAAAGTTGTAGAGCAGATTTCCTCAATCAGCAGATGCTCAGACTACTGTAGACACGTTTGAGGTCCCTTTCATTTCCCAATGCCTAAAAATGCCTTCTGTAATCTAGTGTTCTCAGATGGTTTTAACTAACACTTCCTCTGATTTCAAGCCAGTGATCAGAAAAGTGGATCATGCACTGAGTAGGGGTTGGACTAGATGACATCTAAGGTCCCTTTCAACTCTATGATTCTGTGTGGAAATTGTAATTCCAAACACCTGGATGGTACCAGGTCAGGAAATAGTTTTCTATTAATAAGAAAAACAATACTAACAATAAAAATGGATAAAAACCCAACTCAAAATCCAGTGACAATTACAATTATTAGACTTTCCAAAGTATGGACCTCATAAGTCAGAAATGAAATTGGGTGAAAAGAGCCAAGTATTGGTTACACGTAAGAAAGGTAGAATATGGAACCCAGATTGTTTATTTTATAGTGAATAGGCATATGAACTCAAACACAAAAAGTGGGAGGGAATAGCTTAATTTAACATCTTAGAAAAAAATAAGAGAAAAGAAAGAAACCCAAAGAAGAAAGCAATACAACAATGTATGCATGTATGTATGTGTGTGTTAAGTTTAACACAATGGTTTCAATAAAGGAAGGTCATATTTCATTGTAATTGTCCAGACATAATTTTCATCTGTAAGCAATTTCTTCAAAAGTCACTAGCACACACACACACACACACACAAAGTGAAAATGCTGGGCTTCATATTATCAATTTGAATGCATAGTAAGCTCACATGGAAGATGGAGGCCTATAATATAGTTTAGTCCCAGGCCATTTAGAGCTGTTAAGGTAATAACACGCACTTAATTTGGGCCAGCATGCAAGTGAAATAACACTACAGTTACATGCTTTATACAGATATGCTGAAGTTTACCATGTCTACTATTGCTTTTTACTATTGTTTTATTTTTTATTGGAAGTTTAATATAATAAAGTAAAAAATGACCTTACTTAGTTCTGAAATTTCTAAATAGTCATCAAAAGCAGCCCCAAATAGCATCTATTTTAATAATTCTGTCTGGATATTAAAGTAGAAGTTACCTTGCCTAAATCACACTTGTAATGTGCCACTTGCCTATTTCTCCCGGGGAAAGAATTAATGACAATGACTAGGCACATCTAGGAATCCCACTGAGATTGATGAAAAAGAATTCTGGCCACAACTGCCATTTGGCTTTTAAGAGCAATGATTAAATACAGAAAAAATTGAGTTGCAAAGTGATTCGGGAAGACTGCACTGAATGCAAGACATAACTCCAGAGCTCCAGAGGATCCTGGATGAAATAGATTATCCGGACCCTTTTCGGTTGGGTTTCAGGCCCAGATTTGGGACTGAAACAGCATTGGTCGCACTTTTGGATGATCTCTGGTGGGAGCGGGATGGGGGTAGTGCATCCATCCTTGCCCTTCTTGACCACTCAGTGGCTTCCAATACCATTGACCATGGTATCCTTTTGGGTCGGTTCACCTCCTTCCTCCAAGGTCGGTCCCAATCAGTGTTAATAGGGAGCGAAAGGTCCAGCCCGCGGCCCCTCCTTTGTGGGGTGCCGCAGGGTTCAGTACTTTCCCCGCTCCTTTTTAACATTTACATGAAACTACTGGGCGAGACTATCTGCCACCATGGGATGAGGTATCATCAATAATGCAGATGATACCCAGTTATACATCTCCATCCCAGGTGATCTGAGTGATGCTGTGACTAC